GGTTGGGGGTGGGGGTCGAAGGCTGGGAAAGTTTGGTGCAGCCGCCGCCGCCGCCGCGGTGCAGAGCGCGGAGCCCGGGCAGCAGCGAGCCCCGAGCGCGAGCGCGAGCAGGAGCCGGAGCGAGGAGCGGAGCGCGGAGCGAGGGCGCGAGGGAGGCCGAGCGGAGGGCGCGAGGCGCCGCGGCGCGAGGGGCGCGCGGCCACGAGGAAGTGTAGTTTCTTACAGGGCTGAATTGAAACAACTTCAGCTGTTTGCTTTTAGGATGTCTCGCCGCAAGCAAGCGAAACCGAGATCCCTCAAAGGTAAGGAGGACACCCCCCTCCCGCTTTCCTCCCCCAGCCGCGAGTGTCACTGTGGGTAGCGGAGCGAGGGCTGCGTGGCCGCGAGGCGTGTGCGCGCGTGAGTGTGAGTGTGAGTGCGGGGGCGCGCGCGCTCCCCTCCCCTGTTTAGCCCCCAGGTGGAGTGAGGGTGATGTATCGGGGGGGGGGTGCGTTGAGACGGGAGGAGGATCCCCAAATGGGGCGGCGGTAGAAAGTGGGCAAGAAAAGACAACCAAAAAAAAAAAAAAAAAAAAAAAGAAAGAAAGAAAAGAAATCATCTGGAGGGGGAGGAAAAAAATCCTCTGTCTGAGATCTACATCTGGGCTGGAGGAAAAAGTTTCTGTTGTGTGTTTTCGCAAAGAATAAATATGCAAACCCGTTTGGTGCTTCTTTTTTCCTTTCTTTGGAAGAAGAAAAAAGTCATCTCAGACAGGGGGGAGCAGCTACTGCTCATTAAAAACGTGGCCGGGGGTCTTGGCCGCGCCTGGGCGAGGACACAACGGCCGCCGCCTCCTCCCCGCCCGCGCCCCGCTCGGGTTCGCCTCCGCGCGCAGCCCGTGTAAACAATCGCGGGGAGCCGGCCTGCGGGCGCCCCGGGCCCGGGCCCCCGCTCCCGCCCCAGAGTTCCCCTCCTGGCCCTTCCGAGAAAGTTCACCACCCCCTCGCCTCTACTCCTCCCCGCCGCCCCCTTTGGTCTTTCGCTTTGCGCGATGGGGTCCAGCTCTCCGTCGTCCCCGTTGGAGAAGGAAGTTTGCGGGTTACGAGTAGTGGGATTTGGGGGGGCTCGGTGGCGGGCTGTGGCAGCGGGGTGGGGGGCGGGGGACACTGAAGTTATTGATCTGGTGGCTGTGGTGGAATGTGGCGAGGAGAATCACGTGGCGGCCTCCTCCTCCTCCTCCTCCACCTCCTCCTCCTCGGCCTCCACCTCCTCCTCCACCTTCCGAGCCTCCCCCTCGGGGAAACCAGGGTCTGGCGGCCGTGGGGAGCCGGGAGGTCCGGCGCTCCGACGCCGACAGCGGGGAGGGCGAGCGGCGGAGCGCGAGGACCGGAGGAGGTGCGGGCAGGCCCGGCAAGGAATCGGGACGAGGGCGTGGGGGGCGACAGCTGGAGGCGGCGGAGGCCCTTGCGTCCCCGGAGGCGGAGGACAAAGGGCGGCTTGTGCGCCCGCCCGGGCCCGAAGGGTCCCGCCGAGGTCCGCGCGACCCGGCCCCGCCCTCTGGTCCCCGGCGGCGCAGCATCCTCTTCCTCTTCGGCGGCCCGGGCTCCGGCGCCCAGTTGCCCCTGGTACTGCCTCGGTCTCCTGAGGCGGCCGCCGGCCCGGAGGAGGGGGAGGGAGAGCCGGGCGCCCCACGCCTTCCCGGTCCCCGGCCGATGTGTATTTATGAACTCGATTAACGGAGCCCTCACCGCACACACAAAGCCCTTTCTTCTCCTGGGAAGGGACGGGGTGGGGGAGGGAGGGCCTCGCAGATTGGAACGCTCTTTTTTTTCCCCGAAGCACAGAAGTTTTAGTTTGAAAGCGAGCTGAATCTCTGACATGTGTCTTGACACAGTTTTTGTGGTGATTTACATTCACGTGGGCCACACATTTTCTGGGAAAACCTAGACCAACGGCCTGAAAGATTCCAGCGCCAATAGTGAAAAAATAAACGCCACGGGCGTGCGCGGGTGTCAGGGTAACCGTGGACCGCGCTCGCGTCCGGGGAACTTGCCGTGAGACTCTACTTCCTTAAAAGTCACGCTGAGAGAAGTATCAGGACAAACCTCTTCCTAGTCACTTGGCAAGAAGAACTTTCCGAGTTTGATAGGACAGCGCTCCGTGTCAGTCGGTTTAAAGGGTTGCAGAAAGGCTCCTGAACCCTCAGTAATTTGTGAGACTTTTTATTTTTAAAAAGTTTATTGAAGTTTGCACAATGGGTGGTTTTGCTTCTCCGCAGCCTCTGGGCATTCAGTTCACCTGCCTTTGGAATTAATTCATAGTTGAAGTTCTGATGATCGTGGGTGCATGCGTTCCCCGTGTTTCCTAAAGGGGAATTCATTCTCATGCACGTAGGATTTGCTGGGCAGTAAGTGAAGCCTTCAGTTGATGGTATTCGCAGGGCAATCTCGGATAAGTCGATTTGCAAAATACCTGCGACCAAGACCTGTGTAGTTAAGTTAATAAGCACAAAAGAAAAAGAAAAGGCAATTGGAAATGAATAAAGAGAGCATTTTATTCTTTTGTTATATTGTCATATTGCAAAAATATTCCAATATCTTCTCCACGAAGACACAGCATCTGTTTCTACTGCCAAGCTCTAAATAAAATATTTACATTAAAAACAAAGATTTAGCTTCCATTTTCTGTGTGGGCACGGAACACAGTGGAGTTCTCCTCTCTCAGCTGCTTGGATGACTCCCAGAACAGCAAATGGCCTCAGGTGGGCTGGCTGAGCTTTGGGGGTGAGAAGCTGAAGACAGGAATAAAAACAGTACAGTCCTTACCAAAGAGCTGGTTTGTTTTTCTTCAGGGTATGCATTTACCTGGAAAAATACATATTTAGATGAGCCATGTCAGATGAGTAATTACGATATTAGTAGTGGTTTTGGAGAAGTAGAGTGGCATTCTAGGTGGCTCTTTTTAAGTATCTTGCCTTTTCTTCACTGTTTTCACTTCCCCGTGTCTTCCTGGAAGGGTCTCCTTTTTTTTTTTTTTTTTTTAAATGGGTTTTAGGAGTCTTCTGAGTGTGTGGATTCTGTACATTATATTGTTTGGAATGTCACACTCGGATCATAGAGAAACCAAGGAGGTGTTATTATGACAGATATTCTGGCATCACCATAATAATAAGCAAGAAGCAACGCTTTGCTACAAGCAGGCAAAGAAAGGCAGACTTGATTTGAGTTTCTTCTATGAAGAACTGATTAGTGTGCTCACTAAAATAAAAATTCTCATCCTATTAGATGAGTGACAGTGTTTCAAAACCTCACAGATTACTTTATACCAACTTGGAGGAGGCATTGGAAACCATGAAAATGCAATGTGCCCTTCTAAATAAAACATGAAGTTCTGCCTTCAGTTTCCAACTTGTCTTCTACATCCATACTATTTCTTTAACAAAAAAGGTTTAAAAGATATTTCTGATATGGCTGTCACATTTGATACCATAATTTGCAACTTATATCTCAGGGGGGTAGTTTACATAAGGCAGGTAAAAACATTAAAACAATATGACAGTTAAGTTTGGAGTTTTTGTTTTCAACCAAATGCTTAAAAATAAGGTCTACCAGGAAATTCTACTAATAGTTGAATTTGTTTTGTGTATTCTCATAAATTTAGTATTTTGAATGAAGAATTAGATTTACTTAAAAATTAGGCAAGGTTTTCTGTTTGTAGCAAACTTTAATGTAATCGTCCTAATAACCCACCTCCCTGAGAGTGGGTGCCAGATTTCTGGATGCAGTGGGGCATGCCCTTCTTGGTCTCCTTACCTCCTCTAAAGTGCATTGAAACTGCTAAACACCAAAAGATTCATTTCTCCGTTTGTGAAAACTGTGAACTATATTTTGAAATGTGAAACTCTTTTACCCCTCTACCTCTCAAAGTGCTAGCATCAAAAGTCCGTCAGCCCACTGAGTCGTGAAACTTACTCCTCCGTCCTTATGCTACGAAATCTTCAGAATAACCCTTTCTGTTTAATGAAAGAGAGTTACAGCCAGTCTTCAGAGGCAAGGATGGTCAGACAATTAAACGAGTCACCCATTCTATCCCATTTGTGTTACTTGGAAATTTATCTCCATTCGTTAGAGTAGACCTGGTATTTGAGTAGATCACCTGACTGAACAGAGTTCTGCTGGCAGCATGTTTTTCAAGGCAGCAAATCAGTTGCATCAAATTGGTCAATTGTGACCTATTTCTGTTTTTCTTGCTGGCTCTTTAGTCTATTTCTTGTGGTGCTTCTCTGATGGAAGTTTTTCGGCCATTTTACCTGATAAAAACAGGGTCTTTCTTTCTTTCTTTTTTTTTTTTTTTGAAATTTACTCTAAAAAGCACTATAAGAAGGAAAAAGTGGTCCACTACATGAAGGTGTGATATATTCAGCAAGAGCCAAGTTATAAAGCTGGAAGGAGAGAGGCGAGCACTTAGACATTTAAATGGCCAAGTTAAACACAAGATACAGTTAGGATATCTGGACCCTCAGGTGTTCATAAACCTGTACCAGGGGCCCCTAGAGAGAAATGGTGGGAACCAGGGAGAAAGAGAGCCCCCAAATTACCTTGTTTAACTTGGCTGTCACAGTAGCTAACCCTTTGTAACTTGGCACATTTTGAAGTTATCACACTTAATGATTGACCTTTTTCCTTTTTCCCATTTACCTTCTTTTGTACTTATAATGCTTTTTTTTTAAAGAAGCAATTTATTAGAAATATAATTAAGTGGCAAAAATGTAGCCCTCAATTTAAAGAAGAAAGGTAAACTATAGAGTTTGAATGAAAAGGCAGTGGATTTTAAGTCCATAACCTTTTGAAAGTCAGAAAACCTATCTATTAGGTTGTATTTTCTACTGGAAAGGCTCTCAAAATGGTAGGTATTAAAAAAACCATCTCAGGGAGCTTGAACTAGCCCCTAAACGGAATAGAAATGTTAAACTCTCTCGTCCTTACTTAAACACATTTCCCCCTGTTTTTCAAAGACAAAATATATTTTCTTATAGGTAGACAGGTGAAATATGTATGTTAAAAAAAGTGTGGTTCTCTTATACTCCATGTGTTGCAGTTCTTAAAAAAAAACAAAACAAAAAACCTTACCACTAGAGATTCAGTTTGGGTTTTGGAAATGATGCCATAGAAAGAAAAAAAAAAAAGTCCTGAATTTTATGTGAAAAGACAGTTGCATTAAGACAGTATCCTAGTTTGCTTTTAATTAAAACTTACTATGTAGCTTTTCCCTCAAAATTCTTTTTAGATAAGCTAAACATGACTACCTTTTTTAATAACTAAGG